CACTAGCCAAGACCCAGGAGCCTCCCCTGGGGGTGTGGCTGCTGAATGTGGTCATCTCAGCGCCCACAACCTCTGCCCTGCCCACCAGCTCCAGCCACACTGACTTCCTGAGCAACCTTTAAGCATCTAAGCTCCATGCTGCCCCAGGGCCTTTGCACGTGCTGCTGCTTCCACCTGGGACTCCTTTCCCTCTAGCCCCTGCCTACCCGGTTCTCTTTAATCTTCAAGTCATAGCTCAAATGTCACCTCAGCAAAGTTCTGACTTCTATGTAAACCACCCACCCCACACCTTCTCTGAACCATTTCAACCAGAAGTCACCGGAAGCTGACTTGCTGATCTTCTGTCGGTCTCCCAGCCAGCCTGGAGCCCCAGAGGGGACTGGGTGCTTCGTCCTCTATGGCTAGGTTCCTACCTAGCACGCACCAGGTCATTTTCTCTCGTCTCACTTCATCCTCACCCTCCCCTTCCACCAGTGTTCAGCCTCAGAAAATGGATAGATCTGTAGCTTGAGGGGACACACGTCATGTACAAGGTCCTGGGTTCCAGCCTCAGCATGAGGAAAAGAAGAACCTGGGCTGGGGTGTGCCTGGTGGTAAGAGCCTTGTGCAGGGAGACCCTGGGCTCCCTCCCAGCACCATAAAGAAAACAGCGGAAACAGCAATAATAATCCCCTGCAGCTGCAGAGGCTGAGAGAGGAGGATCCAGAGTTCAAAGTCCAGCCTCAGCAACTTAGCAAGGGCCTGAGCAACTCAGGAGACCCTGTCTCTAAATAAGAAATAAAAAGGGGCTGGGATGAGGCTCAGTGGTTAAGCTCCCCTGGGCTCAATCCCTGGACCCTCCCTCGGAAGAAAAAAGTCACCCCATGTTTACCAAAAACACAAACATAAAAGAAAACAGAAGAAACAAACCAAAAAGTGGGGGGGGGGGGGGKCCAGGTGGACCTGAAGGGCAGGTCCCGGCTCCAAATCTTCTGCAGGAAATGGGCAGCTCAGGGAGGCGGGTCCCGGGAGTGTGTCCTACAGGAGGCGCCCTGACCCCACCAGTCCTCAGCAGGTCCACGTCCAGGATGGCTGTGGCTCCCTAAGTCCGGGACGCTCCAGCGCCTTCTGTAAAGGTGCAGTGTTTGCATAGAAACTACGCACAAGGTCCTGTTGACTTTAGATGACCGCAGACTCGCTCCCCCCAGGGCAGGGAGGACACCCGAGGACGCAGCGTGGCCAGAGAATCACGGCCCCAAAGTCTGTCCGTGTTGAGTCGGGGCTGCCTGTGGGACCCCTGGGCACCTTCGTGCACACTATGTACCTGGGATGAAGAGAGACAGGCCCCTCGACAGTCCCCAGGCACCAGATGTTTGTGATCTCTAAATATTCATGAGGCGTTGTCCACGGAGCACTGAATATTCATGAGCCACTGAATATTAACAATCCCCGAGATAACAGAAGTGCCAACCACCCAGCTGAATTCATTTTGGGAAACCACCCCCCCCCCGCCGCCGCCGCCGCCGCCGCCGCCGCTGTGGCAGCACAGCAGCCTCATGTCCTTTGCCATCAACCCAGGTGATGGCCATCCTGAGTGCTTGTCCTGGGTAGGTGTCGCTCCAGGCACTTCTGTCCCCCTCAACAGGAGGCCAAGTGACAGGAGGGGTTGAAGGTTGCACGGGAGGCAAGCCCCGCCTACTCCCACAGCCCAGGCCCCGCCCCCTCTGACCTATGCCCACCCTTGACCCCAAGGGCCCCCTGCCTGACCCCAACTTGGGGGCCTCCACCCCCTCATGACGCTTCCACTTTCCAGATGAGAAACTGAGTCTCAGAGTCCTGGAACCTTCTCCAAGCCTGTCCCACCTGCGCTTTACCCCAGCCCAACTCCAGCTTTGGGAGGGGAGTAGCCCAGCCCCAGCCCCAGCCCCAGCCCCAGCCCCAGCCCCAGCCCCAGCCCCAGCTCAGCCCCAGCCCCAGCAGATCTGTTTCCCTATCAGGAAGATTGGGTCCTGAAGTAGCCATGGTGGCCCCTGGCAGCCCACTGACCACCTGTGGGGCCCAGGACAGGTAGCTGGGTCTCCTGGACCCCGGAATCTTCCAGGGGGATGGTGGCAGCTGCTAGCCAGGTCCCAGCCGCAGCAGGTTGGAGCATTCTATCCATATCAGTGACAGCTTCTGCTCGTTCACCAGCCCTCGGCTGGGATTTGAATGGGGGCGTGGAACCTTCTGAGGACTTTCTCAGAATGTTCTGGAACATTCTCACACCAGTGAGGGGTCAAGGGTGACAGAAGCAATTAGAAGAACCCCCTTTGTGTGCACAAGGGCCACGCGCCAGCTCCGCATGGTGACCTTTCTCGTAAGGGACATGTCTGTGAAGGGCCACCAGGATGTTAATATCAACAGCAGCCACTGTTGTGACCTACATGAAGCCCTGACTCTTGGAACAAGTGCTGACCTCCTCCTGGGTGTCCCATAGCTGGGTCTAGGTTTGGGGGACTCAGCCCGGATAACAGAACAGCCCCCAGACTCATGGAACTCAGGTGCGCACTGGGGGGAGAAAGGCAGCACAGTCCTGGAGCTGGACTCCAGGGGGAAGCAACTCTTCCCGCCTCTGAAGGAGCCCCAGTGCCTCCCTCTGGGCCTTCCAGGGGGTCTTGGTGGACAAGATGGGCACAGAGAAGGTGCTCAACTGCCTGAGGTCACACAGCCCACAGAGACTGGGGCGGCTCCTGGCCTGTTGGTCCCGGCTTGCTCTACCCTTGAGGATGGGCATGGGCGAGCCCCTTTTTATGAAGAACGGGAGTCACTTTTACAAACAGAAAAGAAAGAAGAAAACTCCCAGTAAAGATAATTCCTTAGACAGGCTCACTGTAGCCAGAGCTGCTTCATAAAACCATGTGCTGCCCCAGGGCTCCATGTCGACTGTGCCCAGTGCTCTGGGCGAATACCTGGGTGTGGAAAGGGTGGGGGACATCACCCTTTAGACCTTGGCTTCCTGGTTTCCAGGTCAAGGCTCAAACCCCATCAAGGCAGTTGCGGTCACAGTGATTCATTTAGAGAGCTGTCGTCCCTCTCTGGGGAAACTGCCCGGGGGCCGGGGATGGATCCAGCGTGAGGCAACCCCAGCAGGGCTCACCTGGGCTCCCTGGCTAGGGCGGGGGACCTCCCCTTAGAAGGTGGGCTGGGCTTCCCAGCTTAACCCTTCCTGTGTCCCAGGGCAGATGGGGGACACTGATGTCTCATGGGCCCCACTTCTGGGGACTTCCTGGACCCCCACACCTTCAGGCTGGGCAGTGTCCTATGGTGCTGCAATAAGTCGTGCTACTATCACCAAAAGATAAATACCAAACCAACGGTCACAGAGCTGTGTGATCAAGATTAGAGCTCACGTGAGTGTCCACGTCTGGCCACCATCTGCCTGTCTACACCTGACCTCACAGGACGGCAGGGCTGGATTAGACCCTTTTGTATCGAGAGGGAAAATGAGGCACAGCACCATCAACTCATCTAGGGGAGGCTGGGTGGAGGCCGAGGCGGCCTCCCACCACCACCTGACGGCGTTTCCTTTAATTTGCTCTGTCGATAATGAGCTCCCCGTCACGGGAGGTGATCAAGCCACACCAGAATCCCACCAGGCAGAGATTGTTCTGGACCTCTCCCTGGCTCATGGGGTGGCCCCAGACAAGTCCCTTCCCTGCTCTGGACCTCAGAGGCTGGTGGCAAGAGGAGAAGTCACTTAGACTTTCCCAGTTCCTCTTGGGTCGACCCAGCTGTGCCTCTGAGCAGGCTTATGGGGGTTCTCTGAGCTCACAGGCTCCAAGGCCCCTTCTCCTGGTTCCCCAGAGCCAGAGCAACGGACAGAACCTGCCACACCTTGGGAGTGAGGGAGGGGAGAGGAAGGGCGTCGCAGCTGGGCAAACAGGACCTGCTCATCTAAGCCAGGTGGGGGCCCAGCTGTCCAACTGTCCAACTCAGGGGCCACACCTTCTCCTGTGGTGGTGGCCTTGGGAACTGCTAGGCATCAGGAAGGGCTGGCCGCCCAGGGCTGGCCCCAGAGCCCGCATTGAGGCAGCTCCCAGGGGACCTGAACCTCGGATCTGAACTACAGAGGAGGGTGTCCTCCCGCTGGGGGGGCGTGTCTCAGTTTCCACATCTAAAAATGTGGCCACACTCACAAAAAAAGCCTCTGAAGGGAAGTTGGTCAGAAGGGTGACCCCATAATTATTATTAGCATGATCATGTGACGGCTCATTGCCCCCTGAGCGGCCACAGTACTTTTCCACCCTCCTCCACAGGGCGCCGGCCAGGAGACCCACTTAACCCAGAGGGAAACTGAGGCTCACAGGCTTAAAGTCACGTGTCCAAGAGTCCCCCGTGGCCAGCAGGACACCCCACAATAGAGATTCCCTTCCTGGCTGAGCAGTCAGGCGCCCTCCTCAAATCCGGGTCACTGTCTCACCTCAAGGAGGAGAAACTGAGGCCAGGCGACCAGGGACAACTTTACCGAGCCACAGAGCAGTGGCTGGCAGAGCCGGGACCTGAAGGAACCCCGGGACACCTCACGTTCCCGAAGGTGGCCCAGCTCCCGAGCAGCCAGAAGAGGTCGGGGATCAACCGCGGTTCCCGCCAGAAACGACAAGCAGCGCCCTCAGGAGCTGGGGGACAGTTCCCGGACAGCCACCCTCAGAGGGCTAACAATCGCCACAACTGGAACAGCGACCGGGTGGACGCGGGCTGAGTGCCAGCCGCACCTCCGGGAGGGCCGCCCAGCCCTGGCAGGAGGCGGGAGCGGGGGTCCCCGGGGTTCGGGAGGCTTTCCTCCGCGGCCAAGGCCACAGGTGGCCTTAGAAACGCCGGGATCGATGCTGCCGATGGGCGGGGCCAGCCGAGTTCCTGCGACTCGGGGCTCCAGGACGTCGCCACATCTTCAGGGACTTGCTAGGGGCTCCCTGGGACCCTCCTTGCCTCCTCCCGGTGCCCACTCCCGGGAGGGCCAGGTCCTCAGGGTCCCTAACACTTACCCGCCAGGCGACCGTCCGGGCCCTGCCCTCCTCCCCTGGAGCGGAGAAGGGCTCTCACCTGGCGGAGCCCCCGCCTCCGGCCTCGCTCCTTCCCGCTGCTGCCTGCGAGCCGCGTCTCCGGGCCGCGTGGAGTCTGCGGGTGGCCCCCGCGCCGCGCCCTCCGGCCCCGCCCCCGACACGCCCCCGACACGCCCCTTCCCCGCGGCCCGGGCCAGCGCCGGAAGCTGGGGCCTCTCCGCTCCTCCCGCGCCCTGGAGCCCACCTGGGTCCGGCGCGGCCTGGGGATCCCCGCAGCTGGAGGTGGCCGCCGCGCCGCGCAGTCCCTCGGCTCAGGGCCCCGCGCAGCGCTGGCCCAACGTGTGCTCAATGAAGAAATGATGAGCTGGGAGGCAGGCTGGACCCAGGGCTCCAGGGTCTCTGCAGAGGGTTGGAAACTTCCAGAAGCCCCAGAAACCTGTCCCTCGCACCTCCTCCCCCGGACTTCCGGAGGTTGCGGGCTTGACATGCAAAAAGGTTCTGGAAGTGGAAAGTCAGATTTGGGATGGGGGGGGCTGGGTTTGGGGAGGATTCGAACCCTGTCCCCTGCTGCCTCGAGGGTCTGTAGAAGTTTCTAGGCTTGGAACGTTGGGATCAGGAGCTGGGGGTGAGGGTCCAGGTGTATGTAGGCTCCATTCATCCTGCGTCTTCCCATCTCCATTGCTTCCTGAGAGGAAGGGTGAGGGGCCTGGCTGGGACAGAGCTGGGACAGAGCTGGGGAGTGAACTCTGCTTGGCGCAAAGTGATTGCAAAGAGAGATGGTGTCACCTGTGGCTGCCCCAGAGGGGCCCCAGGACATCAGGGGCTCCAGATACACACCTTCCTTGCAGAGATAAACACTTGGACTTTGGTTAGGAGCTTGTGGACACCCCATGGGGCCCCAGGAAGGACCTGTCACATTCTTTCCTGTGGGAGGTCCCTGCCTATTCCCCACCTTCACCCGAAAGGGGCCCTTTCCTGGGTTGTCCCGGAAACGTGCAGAACCACTGTAAGTAGAGGAAGCCGGCTGAGTCTTCAGAACCCTGTCCCCTGCTGCCTCTAGGGTAGACACCCAAATCCTGGCCCTTCCAAACAGGTGTGTCCAGGGGACCCTGGACACAAAAGTCAGAGATCTGGGATCAAAAGCAGGGAGTGAGTAGCCTGCGGTGGTGAGGCATGCCGGGAATCCCAGGGGCTGCGGAGGCTGAGGCAGGAGGATCCCAAGTTCAAAGCCATCCCAAGTTCAGCAACTTAGCAAGACTCTTCAGCAAAATAAAAAGGGTTGGGGGTGTGGCCCGGTGGTTAACCGCTCCTGGGCTCAAAAAAAAAAAAAAAAAAAAGATGAAAAAGAGAGATGGGGTAGGTCTCTCTCCCCCGTGAGAGTCCACCTTCTTCCAGTGCCGCCGCTCCCAGTGACAATTCCAGGTGAATCCAGAATAGGTGTTCCAGCAGATCCTTGTGCCCAAGGTCAGGGCAGCACCATTTACAGTGGCCAGAGGACCAGTGTGTCCATCTCAGGGCGGAGGAATAAAGGAGCTGGTCCATCCACATAGGGGAAGGTCACTCAGCTGTAAAAGGACCAGGCCACAACAACGATGAAACTTGAAATCATGACGCTGTGTGACAAAAACCAGGCCCAAAAGGCCACAGGGGTGTGACTCCCTTGCCATGAGACGTCCAGAACGGATGAGTCGGGAGACAGAACTCAGGGGCCTGCCAATGCGGTGGGGGCCTCCTTTGGGAGATGAACGTGTCCTAGAGGGAGACGCTGCCGCTGCCGGGCAAGTTCACGGTCAATTTTCTGTTGTGAATTTCAGTTTATTTGTTTATTTTTAGTACGGGGATGGAGCCTGGGGGCACTCCGCCACTGAGCCGCATCTCCAGCCCTTTTAAAGATGTTCTCAATTCTGAGACGGGGTCTCCCCAGGTTGACGGGGCTGACCTGGAGTCGGGACCCTCTTGCCTCAGCTCCTAAGTCGCTGGGCTCACAGGTGTGTGACGCAGGCCTGGCTCGCCTCAGTCGAGACAGGTACACACAAGCCCACCAGGGGACTTGACGGAGCACCGTGTGACTGGTCACTGTGGCAGAGCAGAGATTGGGAGCCACCCAAACGGGGGAGACCAGAGAGTCGTAAACAGCTGAATGACACCACGCCCTCTGGGGCTGGCCAGTTTAATGGGTCCCTGCCCGCTCTGTTGGGACGCACCTCCTGAGATAGGCGCGTGTCACACAAGCAGGGCAGGGCAATTAGGCGGTACTCCCAAGAAAAATGCCTCCTGTGTTTTAAAAGGTGCCCGGCCTTGCTCAGGACCCAGGAAAACAAATTCAAGGCAGCATGAGGTACCATGTTCCTGCCGCTTATCAGATGGGCCGGAACCCAAGCCTCGATAAGCCAGTGTGTTGGAGGTGGCAGCAGATGGTGGCATTCAGACAGCAGCTCCGGGCTTTGACCTTCTGTGGGGCTATGGCTCCCTCCCCTCCCCCCAACCCACTGTGAAGTCAGGAAGGTGCCCCAGCTCCACGGTTCCCCTCTTTTTTTTTTAACATATGAAGAAACCCAGGGCAGGAGGACGGGAGGGGATATTATAAATGGGGTTTTGAGGTGTGAGTAGGAGCTTGCAAGATGGGGAAGCGCCTCCCCGCCCTGGCATAGCCAGCCATCCCCCTCCTCTTCAGACAAGGAAGGAGGATCAAAAAGTGCAGGGCAAGTCTCAAGCCACATCCTGCTTCCTGTTTCCTGTTTCTGAAACTCCATTTGGTGCAGGCTTGGTTCCTCTCAGGTTGTAGGATCCCTCAGGGTCAGACTGAGTGACGGTCCCCAGGTGCCTGTCAGGACCCAGGACCATCTGCTGAGCTCAGACCTGCTCCCCGGCACTGTCGGTTACCACATCTACCCCGGGCCCCACTAGGCCACTCTGCTCCCTGCCCCCTGGCACTCTGTGTACTCAGCTCCCCGAGGCCACCATGAAGGGGGCTGCCGATGAGGACCCCTAGGCTCAAGCCGCTCAGTCAAAGTCAGTGATGGCCGCGTCGCTCTGGACCCAGGCCCCTACTCCCAAGTCTTTCAGCTTCCAAGAACTTTGTCTTGCTTACAGCTGCGCCCCTTGCCTGGCCCACCCCGGAGATCAATTAATGTTCACGGATTGACTAAAAATCGCTTTCCCGTGGAGCTCAAACTCTGCCTGGGGTGCCCGCCCGTCTTATAAACTCCTGCTCAAACGTCAAAGCCCCATTTACGATGCCCCTCCCCAGGACATTTTCTTAACTCCTTGGGAAGAGCTCTGGGTGCCCCAATCTGGGCTCCTGTAGTCCTTGTCCCTCCCACTAGCCCAGTTCTGAGCCCGTGGGCCCTGGGTCTGGCTTTTGTCCCTCGAAAGCTTATAGGATAAGCAAAGTGCAAGGTGTGGGGCGAGATACCCTAGAAACGCCAGGCCACACCCCTGCAGCCCTGTCCCTCGCCACTCCGACTGTATGAAGGCGACACTCTGGAGCAGGATAAGGTCTCCTTTTTTATTTTGTTAGAAAATAAAGTGTTTATTCGAAGAACATTAAAAGGCCAGGACCCGGGGCGTTGGCGGGAGGAGGCCGGTCTGGGCTCAGCTGGGCTGGCGGGGGCTCCTCTCCAGAGTCTGGCCTCGGGGGGCGGGGGGCGGCCCGGCTCCCAGCAGGAGGGCGGGGGTGAGTGAGCACCTCGGTCCCAGCTCAGCAGCTCACCAGGTACATCCCTGTGGCAGTGGGGACAGTGAGGAGGGCCTGACCTTCCAGTTCCCTCAGTGTCCCCGGTTCCCATGGTCTCTGCCTGGGGTCCCAGCAGCCCCTTGTGGGGTGGGAGGACCGAGTGGGGGTGGGGGTGAAACCTTCAAACGCCCCCTCCTGCCAAAGTCCTCCCAGCAGCCCGGCGAAGCAGGTGACAGGGCCCAGTGGGGCCTGGCACGGTCCCAGCTCCAGTGCCTGGTGGCAGGTGACGGTACCTGTGGCGAACCTCCTCTTCACCAGTGACATGCGGTAGCCGTTGCCCACCAGCTCCAGGTCCACGCCCGACAGAGTGGCCCCCTCGCTGGTGAACTGTGCGGCCACAGGGCTGGGCGTGCTGGGCCCAGACACGGGCTCCCAGCTGGCAGAGAGGTGGCCAGTGCCTAGGGAGGCCTGAGGTGAGCTGCCCCCGCCCAGCGCGGTCCCACCGTCCCTGCGCTGGAAACCCTTTGCTCTGTGGCTCATCTGCCCCGCCCACCTCCTCTTGCACCCATGCACCCTTTACTTCTGGCCCCGCTGGTTGACACAGCAGTCCTACCACAGGATCTTTGCATCTGCCATGCCCCCCAACCCGGGTTGTCTTCTTCTCCCACATTTTTCAAGCCCACTTCTCACCACCAGCATTCTCCCCAGTCTGAATAAGTGCCTCCCACCTGAGCTCTCCCCGTCCTTCATGCACACCCATAACTCACCTGCTGCCTCAGACACATCTGGAAGCTTCCACATGAACCGCTTCTCCTCTAGGCTCCTGGCAGTGAGAGAAGGTTGGTCAGGTCTTCACCAGAGAAGATGCTAGAAGCCCGTGGGCACAGTTTGGCCACTTCCTGGTCCCCTGCGTGACCCCCACAGGCCCACTTCCCAGCCTCGCCTCTGTTTCCCCATCTGTGAAAGGGGTGGGCATGGAGCGGCTGATGCCCGACAGCACTTTGAAAAGGCGCATTCAATCCTCCTGCACAGCAGGTTCCGCCTTTTGTGCAAAACGAAGGTGGGCCTGGGGCCACGGCTCAGGGGTAGAGCACCCACCGTGTGCCTGGGGCCCTGGGTTCCAACCCCAGCACCGCAAAAAAATAAAAATAAAAATAATAAATTTAAAAAGTGATGGCGGGCCAGACTGGCGGCTGCACCAGGAATGGGTGGGCAGTCGGGTCTTGGTGTGGCCTCAGACAAGCCGAGGAGCCTCTGTGGCTGTCTCCCCCTCCATAAGTGGGGAGGTGAGAGGCCAACCTGGGGCTGCTGAGGACCAAGACCGCCCGGCAGAGGCCTGCTCACGCCTGCTGTGGAGGAAGCTCCCTCAGAGATCATTTGTTTTTAAGTTCATTGTTTTGCTTGTTTGTTGGCGGTGCTGGGGTGGACCCCAGGGCCCTGCGCATAGGAGGCGCGGGCTCTGCCGCTGAATTTCTTTTTGAGATGGGATCTCCTGGTGTGGCCCTGGCTGGATTCAAACTCCTGAGCTCAAGCCAGCCTCCTGTCTCCGCCTCCACATAGCTGGGACCGCAGGTGGGTGCCACTGTACCTGGCTCCAAAATTATTTAAATCATCCCCAGTTCTAAGCAAGGTAGGCGCTGTCAGGGGTCCAGCCTTGGCTGGACCCTTGGCTGCCACAACCCTGGGTGCTATACAGGTCCCCACGTGGGAGAGGATGGGAGGGGAGGGGAGGGCAGGGCAGGGCTGGGCTGGGCGTCCGTCGGCCTCGTACCAGGTGGCAGCAGGCTGTAGGCGGACATTGGTCACGGGCTCCCCGACGGGCAGCAGGATCTGGACGTTGGTGAGCGGCGTGGACACGGCCGTGGCCCCAGCGCGGTAGCTGTACTCCACCGAGACCTGGGTGAGCGAGGCCGCGCACTGCCAGTGGACACTCAGCTGCAGAGGCAGGGACTGGGGGCCGGGGCGGGAGAACTGGGGGGACAAAAGCAAGAGAGACACAGCTCGGGTTTATGTCCTGCCACCCCGTGACCTTGCCTCGCCACCCACCATTCCACCACGCTGACAGCGCCACACACATATCTTCCCAGGCCGGTGCAGGAGAATTTAGTGTGTTACACCATGTGTCCAGCAGAGGGCAGGCGAGCACCTCATTTTAACAAAATCGGCCAGACAAGTTCAAGTCCATGGTTCTGGGGTGGGGCCTCTTCCAATTTGCATAATTGTACCATCTGCACCAATAGGGGAAGGCCCCCCAGGGCGCGGCGAGGCCCCACCCGGGCTCCGGGCCCACCTGGTATCGCAGCAGCACCACGTTGTAGTAGGAGGCCGTGGGGTTCTGCTCCGCCTGGCGCTGCAGGGCCTCGGTCAGAGCTGCCATATTGAGCCAGAAGTCTTTGGTGTCCGGGTCGCTCTGGGAGGGGTCACTGTGCAGACAGGGACTCATCACCCCCAGCCCTCAGGAAATGCCCTCCCAGGGCTTTCTTCTATGCCAGCGGCTCCCTAAAGACGTGATTTCTTGTCCCACCCTCGGCCCAGGAAAGCCCTACTTGGGCTGGAGGTGAGGGCAGTAGAGGAGTCAAGGAAAGCAAGGTTCAGAGAGGGCAAGCAGCTTATCCCAGGCCACACAGCAAATCCCAAGATGCAGAGTAGAAATTCAGAGCTCGGGAGCCGCTGACCCCCCAGTGTAAGGCCCCTTTCCACTGGGCGTGCCCAGTACCTGAAGAGCAGGTCAGCACTGGGCTGGAAGTGCTCGATGGGGGCCGTGTGCACGAGCCTGAAGCTGAGGACCGGTGGGGGCGGGGTCCCGTTGAACACTCGCATGATACCAGCAGGAAAGGTCATGGTCAGCTCCCCAGTGACTCGAGCCAGGCAGCTGGGGAGTGGGGGACGTGGTGGCTCAGGGCTCTGCCTGGAGCCCTATCCCCCTCCCCTGGGTCCACCACAGCTGGGGGTTCCCAGTCCCCAATCCAGCAAGGCCCTAATCAAGCCCGCAGGCCTGTCACCCTGCCTGGACGAGAAGAAGCCACCCAGGGCTGAGGGAGAAAGAAGGCCCCTCCCGTCTGCTTCTCTCCTAGACCAAGACCTCAAGCCACAAGGGCTGCGTGGTGCAGCGGTCCTCGCCTGGGCTCGGGTCAAACACTCTCCTCCTCCTTGTGCTGTGACAGGAAGGTCCTTCCTGCTGATCCACCCAGGGACGTGGGGCCAGGCTCCGGCTCCCCAGCTCACCCCACCTGCCCCTGACTGGGCACGGCTTCTGGTCCTCTCAGCCTGGGGGCACAGTGGCCTTGGGGAGCCCGGCTACGACGCCCTCTGGGGCTCCCACTGCCCTCCAAGGCTGAGAATTGCGTCTGCTACTTCCTTTCCAGACCCAGACACCAGCCTTGGAGCCCTCCCGGTGTCCTCCCCGACCTTGTCACACCTGGGGCTGTGGCCTCGGAAGTAGGCGTGGACGTACTCCGTGAAGGCTGTGGCCACAGGCAGGGCATCCTGGGAGCCGAGGACCACGGGGCTCGGGCCCCGGGAGACTCCTGGGGTGGCGAGGAAGGAACCCGTCACATGGATGCGCACAGGCCCTGAGGACCCACCCTGCCACAGCCACCAACTGCCGCCCAGACCAGAGACAGGGTGCCCGAGGCTGGGGGCCAGAGCTGCCCCACGTACCGTGTCCCGTCTGGGAGGAGAAGCCGGGCCGCTCCGAGGTGATGCTGGGGGCAGAGGAGCCCAGGGGGGAGGGGCTCAGGGGCCGAGACTGGAGGGAGGACAGGGGTGGGGGCTAGAAATGGAGGCCAAGAACCACCTGGGCCACTCCCAGCCAGTTCCTGTCACATCCTCACTTACCAGGTCACCGTTGCTCCGGGTGAGGGGGCAAGACACCTTTCTGGAGCGTGGCCTCCGGGGTGGGGCAGCGAGGCCCTCCCTAGAGGTGCCATCGGCGGGTGGGGGCACCAGGTCTGGGAGGAGCGTGGAGAACAGGCCCAGATGAGCCACCGCCCTGGGTCTCACTCTGGGTCTCACCCTGGGTCTCGGGGCCCCCCAGGGGCAGGGACTCAGCCACAAACAGGGGGAGAAGGGCTTCAGGAAGACGAAGCCTGGAGTCGGACGGGCACCACCCACAGCCCGAGCCTCCAGACACTGGCAGCCAGACAAGGGCGAGCGGAGCGCCTCAGGGGGTGGGCACGCAGGGCTGGGGGCCACGGTCAGCAGCTGTGACACCCACTTCCGAGGGTGAGGGCCGCCTAGGTGACCTGGGTCTGCATCTCACCCTCCTCTGTTAACTAATGGGGCACGTGTGGCCCCTCGAACTGGCTCAGCCAGGTTCTTTCCCATGGAGCGCGTCAAGGACACTGGCCAGCAGCGCTGGGGACAGTGTGTGGTCAGAGCTACCTCTGGAGCCTGGGGGGCCACCCCTGCCTGCTCCCTTCCTCCACCTGTCCTCGCGCCCCTCTGGCCCTGCCTGCTCAACCCCAGGCTCTCCTCCCTGGGTGGCCTCCCTCCCCCGCTCTGATGACATCTTCACACAGCTGTGACATGCCACCCTTGCCTCACCCCCCCTCCCCACCTGGCTGGCCACCTGGCTGGCTCTTCTCCACCCTTACCCGAGGCCGCTCTTCCTTCACCTTCCCTCCCTCCCAAGCTGCCAGAGGGAGCATGTGACCCCAGAGTCACTCATGTCCTGTGCTTCCTCCATTCGAAGCCCTGCAGGGCGCCGCTTCCTCAAGGAGCATGTCACAGTCCTCCCAGGCCCAGGCGCCCCCTCCCCCCCTGCCTCTCCCTGGGGGTTCCTCAAACGTGCCCAGCAGCACCCGCCTGGGCCTCTTCCCAGGCTGTGGCGACACCTCCCAGCAGCCCCGCCCCCATTCAGGGGCCCCGCCCATCCTCACTGCCACCAAATCTTAGCGCAAATGTCCTTCCCCGAGGCCTCCACCCCGCACCCGCACCCGTCATCCCCCGCCTTGTTAAATATCGACCTCGTTATCTCCCCTGTAGAGGTGGGGGTTACCTCATCCCGACTGTGTCCCCAGAAGTCTGATCAGGCCCTGCCTACCGGGGGCACTCAGTCCCCTCCAATCTCAGGGACAAGGTCACTGGACTCACCTCCTCCGGCCTCCAGTCCCCAAGGGCCTGGGGATGGTGCCAGGCGCTGCGGAGAGTCGGGTGGTGGTGGGGGCCGTGTTCCCCTGGGTTCAGGGGGCTGTGCCCTACAGGTGGGCGGGCTCTGCGGGGTGCCCGGGCGGGGGACCCAGGAATCCAGGGAGGGGCCGGGTGCTGCATGGGAAGGAGAGTCGAGGCCAGAGTCTTCCACGTTTTCAGGTGACGAGGAGGAGAAAGGGGAGGGGCTGGAGGTGAACCCGAGGCTGCTGGAGCCTAGGGAAGCCAACAGACGGTCAGCGTCGGGCCCGCCCACACGGAGTCCCGCCCACCCTCCTTCAGGCCGCACCCAGGGGGCGGGAAGGTGGGTTCCCATTCTCGGTTGTCCATCTCCCTAATGTCCTCTCCACTGTTACCCAGACCCAAGCACAGACCGCACCCTCTACCATCCGTCCCACTGGAAAGCGTCCATCAGCTATAGCCCCGCCCACTCACGTGACGACCCCGCCCACTTACGTAAAGGTGCCCATCTTCTATCCTAGGCTGCCCCTCGACAGACCAGCCTCCCTTCCCATTGGCCCCGTCTTCCCTCCTCCTGGCCTATCCTTGGCCCCACCCATTCCCTTGCTAGCCACGCCCACACCCCTGTTCCCATCACCTGTAAAATCTTCATGGTCAAAGGCTGACTCCAGGGGTGGCCCAAAGAGATTCTTGGATACCTGCTCGTCCAAGGGCAGCTTTTCTGCACAGCTGTGGACCAGGAGGCCAAGAGGGGCGGGGGTCTATTGGCTGCGTGCCTTGTCTCCCGCCCAGAGCCTTTGCCAGGTCTCCTCTGTCCTGAGCTGTTCCTGCAGTTGTACCTATGCCACTCCTACTCCTCCTCGGGTTCAGCCCAAAGCCAGCCCTCGGGAAGCCCCCATCCCAAGTGAAGCCACCCCTTCCTGCCTGCAGCGCACCGCGGCCTGAGCTTCTCCACAGCACTGATGAGCACACTTAATTCATTTGCTGGTCATTTTAATGAGCCACTAGAATGTGACTGAGAACAGAGACCTGTCTTGGTCACGTACCCCAAAACCCGCATGGGGCAAATATACAGAAGGTGCTTCATAAGCCAGAGGCACAAGGCAGAGACAAGGGGAGGAGGTAGGGGCGGCCCACACCTGCCACACCTGTTGGTTCCATGTCCCACCTTGTGGAACCTACCTGCTGGTCCTGGGGGCAGACCGAGGCCTCTGTGGCTTCCCAGCAGCGTCCCCTGTGGGAGATACCCCCCTTGAGCCTTCCTGTCACCGTGCCTGCAGCACTGCTCATTGCCCACACCACCACCCTGACACTCAGGAGAATCAGAGGTTCAAGAAGGAGCCAAGCCAACCTGCCTCCAGGTGTGGGCTCTTTTCCTAGCCCCAGCTTCTCCTTTCAATTTTCTCTTTCTTTCTTTTTTTGATATTTATTTTTTTAGTTGCAGTTGGACACATACCTTTATTGTATTTATTTATTTTTATGTGGTGCTGAGGATCAAACCCTGGGCCTCATACATGCGAGGCAAGTGCTCTACCATGAGCCACAGCCCCAGCCCTCCTTTCAATTTTCATTTAATTTATTCTTATTTTACAAAGGAGGAGACTGAGGGTCAGAGTGGTTAAGCAGCCTGCCCCATGTTACAGCAGAGCTGGGGTTCAAATCCACACCCAAATCCAGGACCAGCGTTCCCTCCAAGCGTTCTTACCCAAACCAAGACAGAAGGCTACTCACGGGAAGAATGGCGTTTCATGGTGCCCTGTGGACAAACGAGGCAGGGTCAGGCACAGGTGCATCCAGCCAGCCCTGCCGCACACCCAGAGCAACCCCCCCACACCTCACCCCTGGGCCTGGAGGTAGGATGAGGCTGCCCGCTGTGGCCCTGAGCTGTGCCGCGGCAGCCTCGGGGTTACAGGATGGAGCCCGGGCTGGCGCGGGCTTGATGTGCACGTGGAACTTCCGGGGCTCCTCATCGTCAAAGTCAGAGTCACTAGAGGAGAAGCGAGAAGGCTCGGCCGTGCTTAGGCCTCAGTCAAGGAGCCAAGCAGATCCTAGCAGCCCTCAGATCCCACCCTGTCCCTCCTGCTCAACCGTGTAGAGACCCTGCACAGTCCCTCTGCTCACACTGCCTGGCAAACTCCTATTCAGCTGCAAAACCTCAACCCTGGTGCCCCTTCCTCCAGGAAGCCCCTGGACTCTCCTTCTGGGACAATCCAACCGCCTCTCTCACTCTTGCCCATCCCTGACCCCACAGAACAGCTGTTTACATCTGGACCGGTTCCCTCCACGACAGAGGCCCTATCCAGGGTGGACACGGGGCGGTTGCTAGTGGTAGCCTGGACAGAGCTTTGTCCCTGCTGTGCCAACACTGGTTCCCAGGGACATCAGAAGGATATTGTTCTGGGTCACATCAGGTCGGACGGTGAAACCTTCTTCATCCACCTCTGGACACATCTGGGGGTGGAGAGTGACGAGGTGGGTCCCCCGGATTGAACTTTCCCCTCCAGGGCCTGGCTCTGACCCACACCACCTGCCCCAAGCTGCACTCCCTGGGGTTCCCACCCCGCCCAGTTTCACCTGGGATTCAGGTGAGAACAGACCCCGCCCACCCGCAGTCAGCCCCTCCCAAGGCCCTCCCCGGCACTCACCCCTGAATCGGGTTCCAGGAAATCTCTGGGGAGGAAGGGAGAGGTGTCAGCGTCAGGGCCCCTGGGACCTGGGGCGCCTGCACTACCCGCCTAGGCCAGCCCTGGGGGCCGTGGGACCTGGCGCTTGCTCATGGTGGGGAGTCTGGAGTCAGCCAATCAGGACGTGTGTTTAAGCAGCCTGGGAAGGGAGGCCGCTGGAGCTGGACTTCAGGGCTGGCCTGAGAAGTCCGGGGACGTGGGGGGTATCATTGGCAAGGCCACGACAGGGCTGGCATCCTGGACCGGCCGGGGCAGGGGTAATCCTTGGTCACCACGGGCCAGGAAGCCCCAGGCCTGGCCTTGGTGCATGGACAGACTCCAGCCAGGTTGGGCTTTGGCTCCGTGGTGCTACCCTGGGGCAGAGGTTCTCGTGGGCCAGCCTGGGGAGAGGGAGTCCTGGGCTAGCCTGGGACAGGGGCTACTCTGAGCTACCCACAGAGGTCAATGGGCAATACTGGGCTAGCCTGGGATAGGGAGACTCCTGAGTGGGGGATTTCTGAGCTAGCCTGGACCGGGACCAGGCAGGGCCTTCCTCACACGGCGGCTCGAGGCTCCCGCTCCCGCCGGCTTAGTCCTGGAAGGCGGAAGGCCTTGGATCCCCGCAGGCGTTTCATTGCTGAGGACAGATGGAGGTGGCTGAGCGGGGCGGGTGCCCCCTTCCCAGGCAGGTCCCCCCCTCACCCCGCGGTCTAGCCTGGGCGACCAGGCCCAGACGTACTTGCCTTCCTGCAGCGCGGCCGCACTGTAGCTCTCGAAGTCCAGAGGCCCTGGGACAGGGAGGTGGAGGTGGGCGGGCCTGGCACCGGTGGCCGGACGCTCTCGGCCACCCGGCTTGGGCCCGCAGTCAGTCAGGTAGGTAAAAGCGGAACAGCCCAGCCAGGGTGTGGGCGGGTGGGCTCAGGGGCTGCTCTGCCACTGGCTGGGTGGTGCCACCTGAGCCATCTAGACACTTGCAGCATTTCCAGGTGGAACTTGGGTTGGGTCAGGGGATGGACCAAGATGGGCCTGGACACCCAGAGGAGGAGCTGGGACTCTCCCAAGATGATGGGAGGCACGGGGCGTGTGTGAGGGCGGCAGACCTGGGGCCAATCAAGGGCAAGAATGGGGGGCCACATAAGGAGGGGCGGCCTGAGCAGGGCCTGAGCCACAGAGACAACAGGGAGGAAGGACAGGCCTCACTGGCTGAGTAGACTTGGGGACAGTGACGTAGTAGTGGACAGATCACCGAGCATTGTGAGAATGACTGTGAGTATATTCTCATCCCCACTTTCCAGGTGAGGAAACTGAGAAGTGAAGACACATGTCCTAGGTCACACAGGCAGCAAGGAAGAAAGGACCCAGACCAGGTCTGATTCTCAAACTTGCCCTCAGCTCCTCTCAGCCCCCACATCTGGGCTTTTCCAAATTCATCTTTTGCTCAACAACACTCAATAGCTCCCTGGGGCCCTTGGGGTGGAGTCTGAACTCCCAGCGTGGCTTTCAAGGCCTCTCAGGAATCTTCTAGACAGACACACCAGACCAGCCATCCAATTCTCTTCCTACCTGGGCTGGAAACTTGGAATTGTCACCAGCCATTTTTCTGATGAAGAATCCAAGGCCCAGTCTCCCGCCTCTTTCTCTGCAGCTGTGGCCCCCAGCCTGGCCGCCATCTCTGCGGACTCACCTGGCTTCTCCTGGCCCGTGCCCTTGCTCTCAGCAAACTTCCTGAGCAGCATCTCCACGGTGACGTTCTCTATGTTCTGCTTAAATTCCTCGTGCACCTGGGTGGGTGGGAGGGCAGGGTGTGTGACTGGCGGGGTCCTCTTGCCCAGCACCGGCCCCAGCCTCATCCTGCACACCAGCCGGCGTCACCTGCCCAATCTGCACGTGAGTGTCCTCCACCGAGTGTGCGTAGGAGCCCAGCAGCGCCTTCATGTGTCGCAGGTGGGTCTCCTCCATGGCTTGGAAGCGCTGAGGCGGGAAGAAAGGAGTGAATGGAAATGTAGAATGGCCATGTGACCAATCAGAACCTCCCAGCTCTCTGGCCTCAGTGATTGATTAGAGAAAGAACCAATGAAAGTCTGCCCTAGGACTTTAGCTGGAACTAGGAGAAAAGATGCTTCATTCCTGAGCCAAAGAGTTATTGGGATACAAATGGGGGCAGCTGGCAGCTACTTTTCTGTGTGCACACACTGTACATGTGAGTATGTGCACATGTGTACACACACACACACACACACAGGCATGTCTAATGTCTGCCTGGGGGTCAAGTCCCCAGGGAAGAAGACTGACTAGAGAATCAGAGAGACACAAGCTTTCTGCCAACACCATTTCGGCACCTGAATCCATCCATGCCTGAAGCCTCCACACCCCCTCAAAAAAAATTCTTCAGTTCACTGACCCTAAAAAATTCGTCCTTTTAAATAAACATTTCTTTCTTTTTTGGTATGGGGGATTGAACCCAGAAGTGATTAAGCCACATCCGCAGCCCCCCCCCTCTTTTAATCTTCTTTAGAGTCAGAGATTCACTTAGTTGCATAGGGCCTTGATAATTTGCTGAAGCTGGCTTTGAAATCACAATCCTCCTGTCTCAGCCTCCCGAATCACTGGGATTACAGGTGAATGTCACCATGCCAGGCTTAAATAAAAGTTTCTATCACTTGCAACTTGAAAAAGAATTCTTATTCTGAGTCCTGAGATTCTAGTCTACTCTTGGTCCATGTGGGTAGATGGAGACCCAGAGAGGTGCAGTAACTTGCAAAGTAACACAGCTCTTGAGGGACAGAGGCTGGGTGGCCTTCCAGCCACCAAGGAATCTCAGGAGATACTTGGCTTCTGAACTTTGCCCTTCTTCAAAAATCTCCCCAATAGAATGGAAATAATAATAACAGCCTAGGGAGTGGCTTCCGTGTCCCTGGTACTAGTCTGAAAACTTCAGAGTTGCTCATTTAACCTTCGCTGCTCTATGAGGCAGGCACTATTAGAATCTCCGTTTTACAGATGGGGAAACTGAGGCACAAGATAATTTGGCTTCTGAAATAATGTCAACGACAATAATAGGTCTTAGGCCTACGACCCTAAGCACCCCAGGACGGGGTCGGTCGGGAGGTGTCCCGGGCCAGGGACGCGCAGCCCTCGGGGTGCGGATCTCTGGGGCCGGCTTCCTACCAGCGCCGAGTCCAGCATCTTGTGCTCGAAGTCGGCCCGGGCCGAGTTGTACTTCTCCACCGCGCGCCGCAGGCTCTCCGCCGCCTTCTTGGTTTTGGTTTCTGCCTAGGAGGCACAGGGAGGGGATGGCATTGGGATGGGGACACACAGAGGGCTTTCCCAGTCCCAGACTTGTCACCTGGCAGGTGGGTTCCTGGGGTACCCAGGGCTCAGTGGCCACACGCAGGCCCAGTGACCCCCTCTGTGCGACACATTTTCGTTCTAGCCAGGCAGCCCCAAGGCCCTGCGGCAGATCCCTCAGACCCACGCGCTGCAGCGGCCGCCACCTCACACCTTGTCCATCTCTTTCTGGCTGGTGTTCTCTCTGCGCAGGCGCTCCTGGTCCATGCAGCGGCTCAGGTAGTTCTCGCGAGACTTGGGCAGCAGCTGGCTGACGCCCGAGAGCACCTGCACCGCGTCCAGGGTGCCCAGCGCTTCCTCCTTGCACTGTAGGGGGTGGGGAAGGGGCGCGTGGGTGCCACCTGTGCCCAGGCAGGGACCGTAAACTCTGAGTATTTTATTTGTCCCAGAGTATTTTGGCGGGGCCTGGTGGCGCTCGCCTGGAATCCCAGTGGCTCTGGAGGCTGAGGCAGGAGCACCGCGGGCTCGAAGGCAGCCTCAGCAACTTAGGTCCGGAGCAACTTTGCGAGACCCTGACTCTAAGTAAAACGAAAAGGGCTGGGGATGTGGCTCAGTGCTTAAGCAGCCCGGAACCTAATAATAATAATAATTATTATTATTATTATTATTATTATTATTATTGCAAGTTGAAAACACTGTACATGGGGACTGTATCGATTCCGCCCAACCCACCTGCACCCTGGCTTAGCCACAGGGCACACTGTGGGGTCCCCGTTTCATGGGGCTAACAGGTGCTGTGCTCCCTGTAGCTGCCCAGCTTCACAACAGAGGATCGGAACTAACTAACCCAGAGAAAGTTCCGAATTCACAATTCCAAGTTCTATTTCTACTGATCGCAGGTCACTGCTGCACTGTTGTGAAGTTAAAAAAAAAAAAAAATCGTACGCCAGCATTCTAAACTGGGACCCTTTGTAAGTGCAAAGAATTTTTTTTGTATAATGACAAACTTGAGAGGTGTGGGATCCTGAATGTCAGGCTTGGATCACCCAAGATTCTAGTCCTTTGGGTTTTGTTTTATTTATGTTTGGTTTTGGTACCAGAATTTGAACCCAGAGGCGTTTAACCACGGAGCCACATCCGCAGCTCTTTTTATTACATTTTTATTTAGAGACAGAGTCTCCCTGAGTTGCTTAGGGCCTTGCTGAGTTGCTGAGGCTGGCTTTGAACCCGCGATCCTCCTGAGACGCTGGGATCACAGGCGTGCACCCGGGTCTAGGTTTTTAAGTCTAGAAATGTTAGGTATCAAGCCAGGCACCGTCCAGGGCTCTGTCTGTACAGAATAGAGAGCCAGTGTGCTGGGCTTGTCCCCGACCTGGACTCTCCTTGTAGCCCAAAACCAGCTTGAGACACTATGCACAGGAATGAGCGAGGCTGTGTGGCACTGGAGTCTGCATGTCACAGTCTCCACGCCGCAAAGGACAGCATCTGCTCCGAGCTGTGCAGAAGCCTCCCGGGCTGAGGCTGGCCACTGCCTGTAGCCCAGGGTCCCCACTGAGCCCCGCCCCCACCCCCTGCTGCTGCTGGGCTCTGAGCGGGAGTTCATCAAGCCCAAGGGGGTCCGATGTGTGGAGGTGGCGGGCATCTGGGGGCACCCCCAGGTCTGGAAGCCGCAGGAGGCCTGGGACCCGGATGCGCTGCCCTGCCCTGCCCCCTGGACGCACCCTCTTGTGGGCCTTGAGCTGCTCCTCCCCGTAGCGCAGCACGTCCTTGATGAGGTCCTGCAGCTTCCGCGTCAGCTCCAAGTGACACAGCGCCAGCTTGTCGGAGGAGACTCGGAAGACCTCCCAGAGCGGGGCGAAGGTCCTGCGGGCAGGCCGGGGTTACCCCCAGGGTCTGCCAGGACCCACCCGCTGAAGTCCCCGCACACAGGGCAATGGCCTCGGCTGCACATCTCCTGCGGGCCTGGCCCTGCGAAGCCTCGCTCATCTTCATTAATATATCTATCTTTTTTAATTTTCCAGGGTTGGGGACAGAACCCACAGCTTCCCATGCTAGGCGGGCGCTCGCCACTGAGCCCCATTCTTAGTCTCAAAGCTACAACTTAAGTCCTGTCCGCGGACCCAGGAGTCCTTCCTGGGCGTGGCACAGTCCCCTGGTCTCCAGGCCCCAGCTGATTATTCCCACTGGGTGAGACTCCAGGTGGGCAGACTAAGTCCCCTGTGGCCTTTGCCCCTCGCAGGGCTCCTCCAGTGCTCCCCCACACACACCTTCTCTCCCTGCTGCCTCCGCCCCAGCCCTCCCCATCGTGTGGCCCCACAGCAACCACAAGGAACTTTGCGAATGCCCAGGGACCACATCACAGGTGGCTTGTGCCTGAGGTCCCTATGGCCTGTCCACCTCCACTCCCCTCTCCCCCATCATTCCCTCCTCACCCCCCAGGCAGCCGGGTGAGCCTCCTTGCTCTTCCTTGCACAGGCCATGTGTGCTGCTGCCTCAGGGCCTTTGCACTGGCGGGGCCTGGGTCTCTGGCCCTCAGACACTCCCAGGGCCAGCTCCTTCTGCACATTAAGGCCCGGGCTCACTGCAGCTGAGTCTACTCCAGAGGAAGTGCCCACCCTCTCACGATCCTACTTTCCTGCCTAGCACTTCTCATTCAGGGAAAGGACTTGGTTATGTGTGAGTTTAACTTGTGTCTCATGGGACATGGGACAAAGGTCCCATGGGCTGTAGTTGTCTGGCACACAGAAGGTGCTCAGCAAATACATGTGCAATGAACACATGAAGAAGCCAGAGAGTGAACTCTACACGTCATGTCACGTGAGTAAAGACACATCCACCCCGGAAGGCTCCCGATGCCCCAGGCCCAGCGCCCTGGTGAGCCCTGCTCCACTCACCCCACGGGGGTCCCGTTGCTGGCCAGCTTGGAGAGTTTCGCCATGGCCTTTGAGTATGTCTCCTCGATGGTGGCTCTGGGTGGGAGCACAGGGGGGCGGGAGATGGCGGAGGTTCTTTCGGGGCACCTGGACCTCCGCTTCCCCATCTCCAGTGTCTAAGCAGTGGCTCTCAAGGAGGGCATTTTGGAAATTTGGGCAAGAGATCCGTTTCCGCGAAGCCACGCCCTTGGCCAACATCAGCAGTGTTGGTAGCAGCGGGAGGAGAAATATTGGAGCACATAGTGGGCACCGAGTGGAGTGCTTCATGTGGTTCGTTTCACTTAATTGCAGGAGAAAAGCTCATTTTTCCTTTTTCCCTCTGGGCAGATCCTGCTAAATGCCGCCTCATGTCTAGTCACATCTTCCTTCAAACAAAACCTCAGTTTTCCGGGGCATCAATGTATCCACTTAGAAGCTGCCCCAGGGGCTGGGGCTGAATGGTAGAGGCTTGCCCAGCACGTGGGAGGCACAGGGTTTCACCCTCAGCACCACATTAAAGAAAGAAAGAAAGGTATTGTATCGATGTATAGCTAAAATAATAATAATAATAATTTTTTAAAAAAAGGAATACCAGCTGTATACAGTGGCGCATGCCTATAATCCCATCGACTTGGGAGGCTGAGGCAGGAGGATGGCAAGTTCAAAGCCAGCCTCAGCAAAAATGAGGCGCTAAGCAACTCAGGGAGACCCCGGGTCTAAAAACAGTATTAAAAGGGCTGGGGATGGGGCGCAGTGGTTAGGTGTCCCTGGGTTCAATCTCTGGTACCAGTGGGAGCGGAGGCTGCCTCGCCCTGCATTAGTTCATCACGTGCGCATGTGCGTGTTGGAATGTGGACTATGCTAGCATATGTGTTTTCATTCATCATCCTCAAGGCGCGAGATGGAGTTTAAAAATCCCCCCATCCAAGTAGGTTCTATCATCAGAAGGGAGGCTTTAGAACCAGGGTGGTTACTGTTTAAAAGGGGACGTGGAGTTCACAGGGCCCAGAACCATTGGTCTCAAGGGTCCTCAAGACCCTTTGGTTCCTCGAGGTCCCGGGAATTTGGACCTGGCGGGTGGGGGAGGGTACCTGGCAAGGCAGGTGCAGGACCTGAGGGGAGGTGGGCGGGACCAAGGGGGGGGGTTCACATGGCTGTGGGCGTGGCCACATGGTAGGTAGGGCTGGGGGACCTCACCTCTCCCGGATGAAGTCAGCCAGCTCCTTGGTGGAGACGGGCCCCTGCTTCACGCTGTGGTACAGCACCTCAAAGCCATGATTTTTCTCACCCTGAGGGGATGGAGGTGAAGATTAAGAAAGTTGGTGGGAGCCGAGGCTAACGATGTTGCCTAGCAACGGGGGCAGGGCCAACGAGCAGGAGTCCATCCCTGGCTTGAGCCAATCGGTCTGTCGCACTTCCCCTTGGCCCCAGTTCCTGGACTTTAAATTGAACCAACCAGAAAAAAAGCCTGGGGTTTGGGGCCTGTAGTTGAGGGCACGAGAATCTCAGTTGTTGTTTGTGTCTCTTTTATCTTTGGGTCCCGGTCTTTCTGCTTCTGTTTGCCTCAGTCTCGGTCAGGTTTTCCCCCTCTGATTTTTCTCTCTCTCTCCATCAATGAGGAATAGTGGTGACAAGAGATATTAGAAGCCAAGAGAAAACCATGAGCCTTAGAAAGATGCTGAACCAGAAGGAATCGAGTAACGTGTGTGTTTAGTCAAGTTGCTGGATGGAACCAAACCTGAAAGCCACATTGCCACACAGCTGTCCAGTTTTACAAGCCAATGAATGCCATCCCTGGTGTTTGAGTCGTGGAGCGGTGTTTTCCATCCTTTTCACCATGGAAACTCCCTCTCCGGGGCTCAGGTCAGGGCCTGGGGCTGAGTTCTTTCTCAGGACCCAGAAAAGCCCAGCACAGGGGGAGGCCCAGAAAACACAAACTTTTGAGAATTTTGAATAAGTGAACAAATGTTATTTGGCTGTAAACAGTTAGTGCGGGTGGGAGCTGAGCCTCTACCCTGCGCCTACGGATGCCTCACCCAAAACCTCTTTCCTCCGAGTTCTGGGGCTGTCACTGTCCCTCATCCACCTCTTTCATGGGAATGAAGGTTGATCTCCGTCGGGGTCCCCAAAGCCCCCAAAGCAATTCTAATTTTTGCTAATTCTCTGCTACTTAACATTTTAAATCTCTTTCTTCTCCAAATGCATTTATGTGAGGGCAACTTTTACTGCTGTTCAAACTAGGACACTGGGACCCCTTTCCATCTGAAAGTGTAGGAAAAGTGACTTGACATTTTTGGGGTGTGTGTGGGGGGATTCTGGGGATTCTCAGGGGCACTCCATCACTGAGCCACACACCCAGTTTTATTTTGCATTTTATTTAGAGACAGGGTCTCACTGAGTTGCTTAGTGCCTCACCATTGCTGAGGCTGGCTTTGAACTCATGATCCTCCTGTCTCAGCCTCCCTAGCCACTGGGATTACAGGAATGCATCGACGTGCCTGGCAGGTGATATTTTAATGCCAGCCAGATCCTGTCACCTGTGAAGGGTGCCATGTCTGAACACTGAACTGTCCATTCAGAAGGGTGTTACGCTGGGGTCTGAGGGAACTTGGAAACATTTTAGCACCGATGATGCTTTGTAATCAGGACGGAAAGATGAGGTGGAGAGATCCAAGCCTTCTTTCTGCCTGTCTCTGTCTCTCTCTCTCTGTAGCGTTGGGGAGGGAACCCAGGGCCTTGCACAGCTAGACAGGGCTCCTCCGCCCAGCCCCGCCCCCGTGCCACTTAATTCCCAGGAGAAGTCCCTGGACCCTCCCTCTGGCCACACTGGGCAGTGTCTTCCGTTCACCTGCCCAGTCACCTGGAAGCTGGAAGGCTGGTCAGAAGTCCTGCTAGATGACCCTCCTGCTGCACACACGGGAGACTGAACCAGATTTAGCGAATGAGCAAAAGTTAGAATTGCCTTTGGGGCTTTGGGGACCCTGACGGAGATCCACCTGGTTCATCCCGCTGAGAGGTGGCTGGCTCCCCGCCCCAGCTAACACGGAGCTACCCAAGGCCCCAAGGCTCAGAGAGGGACAAAGGCAGCCTCAAGCCCAAGGCTCCCGACAGCCACCGCTCACTCTAGAATCACTGATGGCTCTGGTCAGTGGTCCATCAGCTGCTCAAGTTCAAGTTCCCTTGGATTGGAATTGCTTTTCCAGCCTCAGCTCCTGGTTTCTTCCCGCCTCGCCAGGAAGGCAGTAACCGATGCAGGGACACGTGGTCCCTTCGCACTACACCTTTGCCCAGGGGTCCCACCACCAGCCCTCCACCCGGCCAGCCCCGCCCACCTCAGCCCCTCCCACCTGCCAGTCCCTCCCAGCCTCCAGATCCTCCCACCAGCCCCGCCCACCCCGCCAGCCCCGCCCACTTCACTAGGGCCCTTCCAGACCAGCCTCCTCCCAAGCGGCTCAGAACCCCACTTCCCGGGGGCGCTCTGGTCGTCCCTCCAGCTTCCTGTCTAGACCTGTATTTTCAGGCTCCAGTGCTACACCCCCCTTACATGCACTGAGTGTCTTAGAGTTGGTGACTTCGCCTCTCTGGGTCTCAGTTCCTCCTCCGACAGTGACAGTACCCAGCTCACCCGGGTCTTGGTGAGGGGGGCTGGCACAGCGCTGGGCAAGGGGCCTCCTGGGTCAGAGTGAGGGCTTGGCAAACAGCCGCGGTGGCTCACGGCCCCCCGGGGATCCTCGGGTGAGGCTGCTCCAGGCACTGTCACCCAGGCCAGCATCTGGGCCTGACTCGGAGCCAACCACTGGCCTGGTTCCCAGGGCTGGCAAACGCCCAGCAGTGTCTGCCTTCCTCAGAGTGGGCTGGCAGCCGAGGGTCCTAGGGGGGCTGTCTTGGTGTGTGTCTCCTTCAAGAACCTCTGGACCCCAGTACTGCCCCCCCAGGGCCTACTGGGGAAGGACCTTCCCATCACAGCTTGGTCATGGCCCTCTCCTGCTCACACTTCCCCCATGGCTCCCTAGTACCCTCCATGCCTCTTGTCTTGCCCAGCTCAAGGAGACTGAGGCATCCCTGTCTGTCTGGGTCACCCCTGATGAGAGAGTCTCCTTGGGACCACCCAGAGCCTCAGCCCTGCCCAGCCTGTGTGGGGGCTCTAATGCAAGCCACTGATTGAAAGAAGCATTACTAAGGGCTGGGTGTGGGTCAGTGGTAGAGCATTTGCCCTTCAGGCCCACGGCCCTGGCTTCAATTCCAGTACTAAAAAAAAAAGACCTCGCTGGAGTCTGGAGATTTCTGTCATGGACAGGGTGTCCGAGGCACTCCCGTGTCCCAGGAAGATGGAATTCCAATGCCCTTTCCCACACGGGGTAACTGGGCTGGAGGAGGCAGAGTCGCCTGGCCCAGGCTCCCGCAGAACCAAATTCCAATCCAGAGCTCAGAGCTCTGGCGCGGGAGCTGGGGTGTCTAGGTGGGGGTGGTTTCTATTTTTTTTTTTCTTTGCTCATCTGAATTTTCTATGGGGAGTCTGCGCACTTTGTGCAATTAAAAAGGACTTAAAATAAATGTAGGTGCCTCGTACATTAAAAGACATCTGAAATAGATGTAGGTACTGCTGTCAGGGCTCCAGCTTCTGATGCTCTAACCATCAACCCCCTCCCACAGAGGTCCTCATGGGGGCTCAGAGACACAGAGTCCCCGGGTCACACAGCCATTCAGAGGCCGAGCTGGGGAGTCAGACCCCTGGGGAGAGGGTGCAGGTCAGACACCGCCCCCAGGTGGCAAGAGGGTCTGGTCCCTTTAAGAAAGTGGATGCGGGTAAGAGGAGCCCCAGCTGGGAGGGGAGAAAGGAGGGAGCCTGCTTGTTGCCAGGGGCAACTGGTTGCCTAACAACAGGCTTCCTCTGGCAAGCCCGGGCCTGCCGTTGAGGAAGGGGCTTTCTGCAGGCCCCTGGGGCCTCTCCTGAGGCTCACCCTCCTTAGCCACCTCTGCAGGGGGCGTCCTGTTCCCTGAGCTGGCCACCAATGTCACGCCTCTGGGCTTCCACCCAGCCTGCCCCTGGGCCTGGAGGACACAGCCGCAAGCTGGCCACCCCCCGGGTGCCCCTGCGCTGGGCTTGCCCTGGCCCTGCAGCGGGGGGGTGTCCGGCTGACTCGGTGTCCCCTAGACCCGAGCTCCTCTCTCGGAGCTGGACGAAGGCTCTTGGGGGCCCCAGGGCCTTCCAGAGCAGGGGGTCACGGGGCAGAGGGGGGGAGTCCTCTCCGTCCCGCGTCCTGTTCCCATCCTGGGTGGGGAAGGAGCGCAGGGGACACAGGGGTCAGGCCAAGAAAACTCCCCAACTCTCCGGGATGGGAAGGGCATGGGAACCCCCGGCTGGAGTGACCCCGCGTCCCGGCACTCGCTCTGGCCCAGGTTGGTGTCCTGAGCCTGCACTTTTTTGCTGGGTAATTTCAGCTACCAGATTCCTCCTCTGGGCTGTGGCTTCCTGACTTGCCCAAGGTCACAAGGTCTGTGAGGTCTGAGGGTGTGGATTCTAACCCAGCCTGACTCTGGCTGCTTTGACTTCTACCTGCAGCAGACCCTCTTCCCGGCCCACGAGACATTCAGTCTCCCCATCTCCATAAAAGTCCATATGGCCCTGCCCGGAGCCCCCACCAAAATAAGAGTAGGTCTTACCCAAAAATGTTCCCCAAAGTACGACATCCTGATGGCCTCTATGGAGACCCCTGCAGGCCCCCTCCAATACCTGTCTGAAGAAAAAGGCAAGTTTGAGCCACACAGTCCTGACAAGTGCCAGCCCCAGCCCGAGTAGGGGAAAGTGGGAGGAGGGAGAGGCGGATGCCCTGAGGCTGGGCTGAGGTGGGGACCAGGAGTGGGGGGCGGTGGTGGTGTCTGAGATGACTGGGCTCTGGTCCTGCAGCCCCTAGTCTATGAACAGAGCTGAACGCAGATGCCCCAGTCTCATGGGGTCGGGTCTGCACTAGATGGAGGGACAGGTGGGGAGCTCAGGTGGGGAAGGAAGGGCCCGGAGCTCGGGGTTCGAGCAGGTGTAGGAGTTCGTGGGCAAAGGTGGGAGTGGGAGTGGGTGAGCTCGGCCCAGCGGAGACGGTCAGGCCCGTCCCCTCTGAAGCGGGAAAGCCACTTGCCAAGGTCCCGCAGCAGGAAGGGACAGCAGGCTTGACCCCGCCACGGCGGAACCCAGACCTGCCCTCAGATGCTCACGGCTCCTGTGGGAAGAGAGTCTGGTGGGGAGGGGGCTGGGTCCCTGGAGTGTCCCTGAAGGTCCCCCGAGGTCTCTTGAGTCCCTCTTCACAGTCCCCCCAGAGGCTCCTTCAGCAAGGTGAGCTTGCCCCCCCCCCCGGTGACCCCGCCAGCGGCCCCTGGAGGCCAGTGCGCACTGTCCTCTGAGCCACTGTCCATCCCCAGGCCTTGGTTCCCCTCTGCAGCCCACGATGGGCGCCCGGGAGGGTCTGGCTGGGGAACCCTGGCTCTGCACGGGGCTGGGCCCGGCCGCCCGGTGGGGGAGGGCCGCAGGGTGTCCTTGGCGTGTTCCGAGACCAGGCTGGTCACTGGAGCCTGCAGGCCTCATCCATAATTCATGACCCCACGGGCAGCTCGGCAGCAGCTGGGAGCCTGGGAGGCACGGTGGCAGCGGGGACAGGGCCGGGTCACTGCAGGCTGGGGAGGCGCCCTGGGTCCCACCAGGAAAGGACTGAGCAGGACGCTGGGCATGGCTGCCCCTCTCTGAGCCCCAGGTGACCCATCCAGCCGCGGCCCCTGGTCCTCGCATGTCTCTCGGCACCCGCCGAGTGCCCGCTCCGACCAGGGCAACACCAGGACCTCTGAGATGACAGCCCTGAGCCTGGCCCCCAAGGTCCCCAGTCGAGCCGGGCAGAGCCAGACACAGGTGTCCTTAATCTGCTGTGGTCAGGGAGGGGCCGACAGAAGGACAAAGGCTGGACTTCTGCAGGGGCCAGGGGGGCTGAGCCTGCGGGGCAACCTGCACCTGTCACGCCGGCCATCAGGAAAGCGGAGGCAGGGGAATTGCAAGTTCGAGGCCAGCCTTGGCAACTGAGGGAGACCCTGACTCAAAAATAAAATAAAAACACAGTAAGCACCAGGCAGAGGCTCGGAGGGAGAGCGCCCCGGGTTCAATCCCCAGCACTGCAAAAAAAAAAAAAAAAAAAAAAAAAAAGACAAGGGCATGATGGATGGGGTTTTAAAGCATCCACAGGAGTTCACCAGTTCATCGTTAGTTTCAGCAAATTTACCCCACACCACCCTGTGCCGGGCAGTGCTGCAGCCCCTGAGGAACTTCTGCTCCCAGGGGAGTCCCGAGCCAACCTAATTTGGAGACATGAGGCACTGCAGGCTGATGTCCCAAGGGAGGAAAGTCCCAAATGCTCAGATCATCTCTGGCCACGAGCGGGACCGCGAGCCGAGCCATGCTGAAGGAGACGGGGCCCTGGAGCACCAGGTGCCAGGCTCTTCCTGGGGCCCAGCGCCAGGCAGAGCACTCAGTTCTGCTGGACGCACTCAGGGATCCCAAGTTCCCCAGAAACCAACCGTCTCACTCCACCGGGGGCCTGCCCTCTCTGCCCCCTGAGCACCTGTAGGTGCCCTGCTGTGCCAAACCCTCACACCTGGCCATCACCCCGCCTTCGGGCCCCATGGCGGCCCCCACTTCACGGGTGAGGGGACAGGCACAGAGGGAGGTGGCCGTCTCTGGGGACGGGGTTGTGCTCCTCTAACCCCGGCCTGGCGGCGGCCAGTCCCCCACTCACAACCTCCTCCGTGGCTCCGGCTCCTGGTCCCCAGCCCCCGCCACCACTCAGAGCTTCAGGGGCAGGAGCCAAAGCGAAGGATGGCTCACCCTGAGGTGGCCCGGCCCAGGAAATGACACCACTGCGTGTTCCCACACCCAGCCCAGGCAGAGGCCTCCCTTCTGCTCCTGCTGGGGCCCAGGAGGGCCCGAGAGCCCCCAGGCCGGGACTCAACTCACCCAACGGGGCGTCCCTCAGGGCAGGCACCAGGCGATGGCCACAGGCCCCTGTCACTTCCGTCGCCGTGTGGTGTGTGGGGGAGACAGGAAGCTCACCCTGCCCCGCCTACCACCCAACTGCCACCTCATCTCCCCGCCCGATGGGTCCCCAGGGACCTCTCTGTCACCACAGGGAGCCGTGTGGGTGGGTAAACTGAGGCTGTGCGCCCGGGGCCCCACCTGGGGCTCTCATCACTGAACAAATCATAACCACCACGAGGGCCGTGAAGGAGCAGCACCCCAGCCGAGCAGCACCCCTGGCCCCGCACCCCTGAACCCGCCAGCCCAAGGTGCTCCCTCCCTCCATGCAAAGAAATTTAAAATGACATTTTTCAGCAGCGTTGGCACGAAGACGAGGGTATTAATTTTATATACTAAAAGGCTTCCCTGGACCCCAAAAGTTCCCCTTCCTTTTTCTTCTGATTTGGAAAGAAGTTAAACGGCCCCTAAAAATGCCGGGAGTCTGAGTTACTCTGCTGACCGCATCCCATCCCAGGCTGCCCGGCCTCTGCAGTGCCCTGGCCGAGCCCAGAGATGGAGAGACACTTGCCCAAGGTTACACAGCCGTCTGCCAGCTGACCCCAGATGCCCCCGACCTGCTTTCCCAGCACCAATTCCCGAAAACCTGGGACTCAGATGTGAGCCGCCCAGGAGCAGATGACATGGGACAGGAACCAAGTCAGCAAAGAAGGCACGGCCCAAGCTCCCAGCCTGGGGACCGGGTGGGGGCTGGTTGGGGGTCAAGGCCCCTGACCTTCTGCTGGACGACCTGGGCGGTCCCTGCCTTCTCTGGCTTCCAGGACCCTACAAACAGGACCAGACGCGTCCCGCTGGGCTCAGCGCGCACACGTTAGAATGAGAGTTTCTCTTCCTCCCCACTGACCGGTCCCCATGGGTGCCACGCCATTTCCAAGATCAGCTCTGTCACCAGGACTGTGACCAGTTACACAGACCGGCTGGCTTCTCACCACGGTGTGCCCAGGCAGTGTCTCATCTGGTGGGGAAACTGAGGCATGGGCCCAGGTCCTGCCATGACTCAGCCGAGGGAGAGGTGGCCTCTGAGCTGGCGCTCAGGAAGGGTTTCAGCCTTCCCTACTGGTCCCCTCCCTCTCCATCGTGTCCTGTGGCACACACATCTATTGAGTGCCGACTGAGTACCTGACTCTACAGACAACACCCTTTGAAGACGTCCCTCCCTCTGTCCCCTTTCTGGTCAGCTGGGACACCATTTAGTGAGCAGCAATATTATAATTAATACGATAATGATCCCATCTGCATTACAGCGCCCCCTCCTCCCACGGCCTCCTCTGGTCTTCCCAGAGGGGTCAGCCCATTTCACAGAGGAGCAAAGCAAGGCAAAGCCACAGGCGGGCAGAGGCAGGGGTCTCAGGCTCTCATCCTGGAACTCACCCCTCTGCCCACTGATGGGACAAAGCTGCAAAGGACAGAGAGGCTGGCCTGTCACCTCCCACCTCTTCCTCCTGCCCAGGACCCAGCCCAGGAACTGGCTCGCCCCTGGCGTGGGTGAAGGTATGTGGGTCAGGGTGTGCCCCAGGCAGCTCCACTGGTGAGACCAGGGTCGAGTCCCTGTTCTAACAATTGCAGCTTGGTCATGTTTTACTAGTGGACAGGACTGTCCCCTTCTTATCCTCAGCCCTCTGGCAATGCCAGAGTGTCACCATCAACCCATTTTGCAGTGCAGTAAACTGAGGCACAGAGGCCAGTAAGGCTCATTGAGGGGTCTTCAAACCCCACCATTCTCTTGACCCCCATCCTAAGCTAGAGGAAAATCAGTCCACCGAAAAGAGGGGCAGGTGGGTTCAGAAGCGGGAGGGCGCAGGGTCGAAGCCCCCAATCTCAACTTTCAAAAGAGAGGAAACAAAGGCTTGGGGAGGTGCTGTCACCTGCCCAAGGTCACCAGTGAGGCAGGTCCATTGTGCTGCCTCCTGGTCCCCAATGCGGCTGGGGCAGGTGATCAGGGGATGGAGGCAGATGGAGGGGCTGCCCACCACCCAGCACTCCCCCGCACCCCACTTGCAGCCAGCCTCAGGCAAGATCTTAATTTACCTCCATTTATTTTCATCCCTAGGAACAGATGCTGCTGCTCCCCCTCACACACTCACACTCCGGGGAGGGACCCCTCCAATTCAGGCTCCAGGCCTTTCTAGGCCTGGCCTGGCCAGTCCCCGCCAGGAGGGGACCCCACACTATCTCCTCCCCAGAATTCCAACCTCAGGGTCCCATAAAGGATGCCAGGGGAAAGACCTCCGTCCCAGCTTGAAGGTGGATGCTGGGTCGGGACATTTAGATGTGGGGAGAGGAGACCCCAGGTTCCTCCAGCTGCCAGGCCTGAATAGGGGTTCACAGTGGAGAAAAGGGGAAGCAGGTCCTTCATCTCAATCCCTAGGGGTCTGCAGGCCAAAGTTGGGAAGAAAAAAATTGGGAGTGGTTCCCACCTCGTCTGCCCAGGTTTGCAGGCTGGAAGGAGAGTGGCGCCCCCATCTTTGAAGCCCCAGAACCTAGGCAAGATCCAGGCTTAGAATAAAGGGATTTGGGGAGGGGTCTTGCTGTACAGCCACCCCGCTGCAGGCTCTAATTCTAGGCCAGGAGATGGGGTGCTGGGGAGGGGGTCCCCATCTTTGCCTCTGAACCCCCGACTGCA